ATCAATTTTTTCGCTTTGTCGTCGAGCTTCTTTCGAAATTGTTTGGGAACGTGAGCATATGCCGTTGAGCCGAAAATCCTCACGTGACTAAGCTCCTAAGTTTCCTTCCCGTTCACTCTTCGTACGCCGTCTTGATTCGTTTTCTGCTCGAGTGTGTCGTTCTATTGAGCACATACACTGCTGCGTTGACCGCTTCAGTCCACAACGTCTTCGGAAGATTTTTGGCTCGGAGCATCGTTCTAGCGCTCTCGAAAATTGTCCGATTCGCCCTCTTTGCCTTCCCGTTCTGCTGTGGTGTGTGTGGCGCCGTATTCTCCATGCTGATTCCCCGTGCTTCAAGATACGCGGCCATCTTTTTACTTCGGTATTCTCCTCCATTGTCCGATCTCACGGTTTTCAGCTTGGATCCGAACTTATTTTCGACCAGCCGATCGTACGTCTTGAATTTTTCAAACACTTTGTCCTTGTGTTTCAGAAAATAAACATGACAAAAACTCGAGGCGTTATCTATGAACGTTACAAAATAATTTGCACGTCCCTGAGACTCGATTTGAATCGGTCCACATACATCGGTATGTACGTACTCACCCGGCTTCGTTACTCGCGAATTCGACTTCTCCCGAAAAGGTTTTCGATGTGCCTTGCCCAGCTCGCAGAAAAACTTTTCCGCGTTTTTAACCTTCACGCCGGTTACACGATCGTTCTTGACCATGTCTTCGAGCTCCGACATATCCCAAACGCTCGTGCCACGTTTTTAAATCGGCCGTTGACACGTTGATTTCCATCGTTTCTTTCGGTGGTACCACGCGGACGAGCATCCGGTAAATCGCATTGCCTTGATTTACGCCGGTCATGATCACTTCGTCCTTTCGCGACACTGTCACGTGTTCATTGTCAAACCCGATGAAACACCCTCTCTCGGCACACGCAGCCATAGAAAGCAAATTCTTTTTTATGTCCGGAATATATAGAACACCTTCGATACGTACTCGGTTCCATCGACCGTCGACAAACGCTTCGAAATTGATATTCCCCTCTCCTTCTATCTTGCACTCAACGTCGTTGCCAAGCACCACAGTGCCGCCGACGCCCGTGCGGAGAGTCTCGAACCACTCGCGTCAATGAGAGATATGTCGAGATGCCCCACTGTCGCCAAGCCAGGCATCTGTTTTATCGACCTCGAGCAGTCGCTTTACTTGCTCCGCCGAGATACCAACACGCTTTTCCCGCGTCGTCGATCTACTCTCGTTCGTCGCGACCACAAGCACTTACTGTTGCGAATTACCCCCACCTCTCTCATCACCACTCTGTTTCTTTTGTGGACAATCGCGCGCGTAGTGTCCTTTTTCGTGGCACTTAAAACATTTAATGTCCTTCAGGTCCTTTTTCACTTTTTGTTTCGAGCTCACCGTTTTTTTCTTCGCACCGTTGTTTTTCGCACCACTGTTCTTCACAACAGCTAACACCTCGACCGTATCACCGTTCGACCCGTGTCTCATTTCCTCTCGCACAAGTCGTTCCGTCAAATTTTCGATCGTCTGTCTCGCTTCGTCGACATTGTCCCACGCCGTTTGGAAACTACTGTAGCTCGATGGTAGCCCGGAGAGAATTTTCGCCATCACTGTAGCGTCGGACATCATTTCACCGACATTCTTTAATTGCAGTGCCATGTTCTTAACTCTCGACACGTGCTGCACCACTGTATCGCCCGATTTCATTCGGTACCCGTAAAATTTATTTAACAGAAACAACTTGCTCGATGCCCACTTTTGTTCGTATTGACTGCACAAAGCGTCCCACATTTGTTTCGCGGTTTCACATGTGATCAGCGATATTAGCTGCGATCTCTCGAGAGTCGTCGAAATCAGCACTCTCGCCTTCGCATCCTTTTCCTCCCACGTGTTCTGTACCGCGGCCGTAGCGTCCGCCGCTAACACATCCGTACCGTTCACAACGTTGTGCACTCGCGCTGCCCTGAACAAGGCCACCATCTCGAATTTCCACGTCAGGAAATTCGACCCGTTCAATTTCTCGATATGCCTCACCGAAATATCGTCCGCCATTTTTACCGTCTCGACCGCGCACGCTATTTCCCGATACAACGAATAACCCGGTTCTCGCCCTCGGGAAAAAATATGGCTGCCACGTGCCACGCGGTACGACCGACGCACTGCCGAACGACTCTACAAATTTTTCGTAAGAGAAGGATAGCGCTAATGATATTCTATGGGCGCGGGAGAAGGATAGCGCGAGGCGTCCATATGAGCGTAAGACAAGGATATCGTTTGCATGCACGTTGGAGAGAGATGGCGCGAGGCATGCACTTGGGAGAGAGATGGCGCGAGGCATGCACTCGGGAGAGAGATAGCGCGAAGCATGCACTTGGGGGAGAGAGAGATAGCGCGAAGCATGCACGAGGATGATACGGCGTTCGCAAGGCGGTGCGAGAGAGATAGCGCGAGGCTTAATATAATAATAATAATATTTATTCAAAATTTATGTGTTCGTTTAAATGTGTGTGTGTGTGTAAAAAAATGTGTGTGTATAAAAATAATAATAATAATATATAATAAAAATATTTGCTGCAGGCTCCTTCTGAAACAGAAAAATACATATCTTGTTAGTATATTAATTTAATTTTTATAAATCTAATATAAATTTAAAAAAATAGATACTTACATTATCCTCCTGGGGTCGCAAACTCTTCCTCCCAATCCTCCTCTTCCTCTTCCTCTTCCCACGCCTCTTCAGGCTCCCAATTCTCATCTTCTTCATAAGGCTCAAGCCCAAAAAGCGGCCGCAAACAGAATATGTCCTCATACTGGCCAGGGTTAATGTTCGCCCACTCACGGGCCCCTCGGGTGTCGCCCCACAAATTGGCGTGCACCCACCGCATATTTCCTCTCATCCACCGCATGTATCGGCGGTGGATGACGTCAATTTGCACGAACTGAAATATATTATTAATTAATAAATATCACACATAATCTCGCACACAAAAACACTGAACACTACTTACCAGATTAAGGCGAAACATTGGCATTTTTATTCAGTTCACTTTACTCACTGCTCGAAACGTTATGATGGACACAACGGGATAGACATCATCTCGTTTAAACATTTTAGAGTAGGGGATGTATCAGTTACAAAGAACGCTTACCTTCAGCACATGAGCGCGGGGGGTATGACGTCACGCGGGGGAATCGCGTCCTAACCGGTAGGCGAGAGGTCGGCGGAGCGGGGGGAAGGGGACCGCGTCCTAACCGATAGGCAAGGGACCCGCTAACCTAACCTAACCGGTAGGCGAGGGACCCGCGGAGAGGGGGAGGGGGACCCGCGGCGAAACCGATAGGCGAGGGACCCGCGGGGAAGAGGGAACGCGAAGGTACGATGCCGCGAGGAGGCGTGGGAGAAGGATAGCGCGAGGCGTCCATATGAGCGTAAGACAAGGATAGCGTTTGCATGCACGTTGGAGAGAGATGGCGCGAGGCATGCACCCGGGAGAGAGATAGCGCGAAGCATGCACTTGGGGGAGAGAGAGATAGCGCGAAGCATGCACGAGGATGATACGGCGTTCGCAAGGCGGTGTGAGAGAGATAGCGCGAGGCATGCGTGTAGGAGAAGGATAGCGTCCGCATTGGCGTGGGAAAAAAATGACGTTCGCGGGAGAAAGAGAGAGAGATAATGCAAGGCATGCGTGTGAGAAAAGGAAAGAAGAAGGTGCAGAAATAATTGACATTTTTTTAAATATAATAATAATAATAATATTTATTCAAAATTCCAATCTTCCTCCCAATCCTCCTCTTCCTCTTCCTCTTCCCACGCCTCTTCAGGCTCCCAATTCTCATCTTCTTCATAAGGCTCAAGCCCAAAAAGCGGCCGCAAACAGAATATGTCCTCATACTGCTCAGGGTGAATGTTCGCCCACTCGCGGGCCCCTCGGGTGTCGCCCCACAAATTGGCGTGCACCCACCGCATATTTCCTCTCATCCACCGCATGTATCGGCGGTGGATGACGTCAATTTGCACGAACTGAAATATATTATTAATTAATAAATATCACACATAATCTCGCACACAAAAACACTGAACACTACTTACCAGATTAAGGCGAAACATTGGCATTTTTATTCAGTTCACTTTACTCACTGCTCGAAACGTTATGATGGACACAACGGGATAGACATCATCTCGTTTAAACATTTTAGAGTAGGGGATGTATCAGTTACAAAGAACGCTTACCTATTATAATATGTAAACCACTATCGAACAGCTTTGAACGGCTATCAAACGGCTATCAAACGGCTTTGAACAGCTAACTAACGGTTATCGAACGGCTTTGAACGACTATTGAACGGCTATCGAACGGCTTTTGAACGGCTATGAACGGCTTTTGAACGGCTTTGAACAGCTATCGAACACATTTTGTAAAGCGCAATTTTTTAAATGTTTTTCACAGCGCATAGTATTAGTAACATCTAGCTTATTTAACGAAGTGATATCTTCATAGTCCGCATCCAAGGTCTCAATAATAACGTCGTTTCTCGCATCATCGTCAAGTATATCAGCCAACTATTCTCGTTTTTCGTGTCCTTTAACGTACACGATAGGAGATGCTCCATCTTCCTCTTCCGTCGCACCCATCACAGCTCTCGTAATCAAACGCCTGGCGAAGCTGTATGGAACGTTTCCATCCTCCCATTGAAGCCCATGGTGATGTCCGATTAGCCATGAAGCTTGGCATCTCTCAGATTTTGTAAGCGCACGCCATGGTACGGGACTTGCAAAAAAGTAGTGAGAAAGAACAAATCCATTTCTCAGTATCGCTACTTCCTTCACGACAAAGTTTCTCCCGATAATGAATCCTTGCAGATCCACAAACGTTGGCGCGATCATGCTGATAATATTACTGTACGATTGCAAGAACGATGTACGACTGCTGTCGATCTTCAAAATCTCAATCTTTATATATTTTGACATTGCAGGGGATATTTGCTGATTTAGGTAATTTTACGAACTACGTTGGTCAATGGGCAATATTCAACAACGCGATTGTGCAAGATGAGACAATAGGCGGTGGTATTTGCTGGTATATCCTCCTTGCACTCAAACTCTAATCTCACGTCCACGGTGGAATTTTTGACAGACTCGTTTTGTCGCGAGCAATCGATAACCGCGAGAGGACCGCAATGTAGAAATTTTGAAATGTTTAATAGCACATCATCATTATCACATCCGTAATAAGATTCGCGAAAACGAGAGTACATATCGAATAAGAGGGCGAATCTATTTTTATCGAAATCTAAATTCAAATCATCATAGGGATAAAATTTCGAGTTTAGATAGAGTTTAACGTTGGTCAATTTGCAGTCGTCGAATGTAGTAATATCTTTTGACACAGCATTTTTTCTGCCAATCTGCAGCGCAAAGATCACGTATCTCGGCTTCTCCAGCTGAGAGGCGGCTTTCACGGTCCACGAATGCTTGGTCGTATTATGCAATAGAGGAAATTCGTATAGATCCCAAGAGCGAAAACTCATATTCAAGTATCGCCCGCTTCCCAACGCGCGTAGCAAGAATAGTTTATTGATCTCGTTCAATATTACATGAGGCATACGCCATTGTATCTTGAATAATTCGATATCAGCTTCAGTCGAAGCATTTCCAAATATGCAATTGTTGTCGTTGCGCGAACATATCAGAAATAATTCGTGACGAGCGTTAATCACAACTCGCTTATAATCTTCGCAAAAACCCAGTAGTATGTTTAGCGGCACGCAAAAATTGAAGTAAGCTTCAGCAGCATTATGCGACATATTCCACGCAGCATTCTCCAAGATTTTACCTTTCTCGGTTGTTAGAGAGACATAGTTTTTAATCGTGGAAGTTATTCCAACGTTTCTGTTGCGGTCAATCTCCACACCGTTGAGTTCATATCGAAGTTCATCGAGCATAAACGCGATACAATTGTTTCTTAATACCACTCTTCCCCCTTCAGCTACTTTACGCACCCTCAACTTTCCCTCGACGTATAGAAAACTTTCACATGGTAACGTGTACAAATCTTGATGTTGTATCGGTATCCGTATCTCGTCGCTATATTCAAGCGTTGTGTTGGCGTATGGATTGTACGTATGAGTCTCAATCTTGACGATACGATCGTCAAAGATCGGCTCGCCTCCGATATTCAAGATGTCAATCATATCGTTCAAGTATTTTGTACGTTTTTTAAAAACTCGCGATTCAACGCGCTGATCTTCTTTTTAGCGTAACCAGATATCTGATTATTGTCACCCGATAACGCAGTCATTCGCCTACTCGCAAAAATATTGTCCCTCGCAAAAATATTGTCTCTCGCGTGCTCCGTGCTTCCGTTCAACACAAGCATTTCATTTGTCAAACGCTTTATTTTTGCCGCCGCCGTATATACAATCTTACGGTAATTTCCTCTCCTCGAAAATCGAGCAAATGTCCTTCTTGATCAACAATGCGTATCGTTAAATCAGTAATGCTCCGTGCGACGATCGGTAGATAAATAATCTGTGCTGGCGTTTCCGATATCTTATATCCGGGCGGTACGCTCGGTGAAAATTCATGTATCGTGTGTACGCACTTGTCATTGCTTTATGCGCCAGTGGTTACACTGCATTCTATACGAATAATATTTACGCTAATAATATTTATCGGTACATCCGATTCGTGCCATTTCCGAGGTTGTAATATACGATTCGACGAGAATCCCAACAACGATCCAACGTTGCCCGGTTTACTAAAATTTATTCTATAGACACATTTGATTTCACTCTTTAGCGTATTATGATTAGCGCGAAGCATTATTGGATATTCATCATGTTCTTCGCCATCAACAATATCGTTGGAATACACTACGCGTCGATGTCGTAAAATTGCACGTCGGAGATATTCGTTTATAGCGTGTAATTCGTACGATTCCTCGGGAATCGTAATTTCCTTATCGTCGTTATCAAAATAAAATTTATTATTCCAAGAATTCACGTTCGATACCGTATGATAAATTTCAAAGTCCGTTAAACCAAGCTCGTAATCGCCATCGTTTAAATCTATAGCCGGAAAGTAGCTTACAGCAAGAACGCTACTCTTGCCGGTCAACGTAAGCGTGAGTGACATGCTGGAAAACTGTCAAACGAATACGAAACGCTTGTGACGTCGGTTCAATATCAATTACAAACGTCCGAGAGTCAAAATACATTGCGCACACATCTGGGTCCACTAGGGCAAAAATATGTGGGAGCTATTTTGAGTCAAGATAAAAATAACAGTATGGATTATGTTTACGGTGTTAAATTTTGCAACGAAGGAATTATGCTTGGTGATAACATTTTTGATGTGGATAAAGATGACAATATAATTATCGATGGAATAAGATACGTGGGAACACCAGGTCTCTACGATTTGATTTTTAAGAGAATACCCGACGGTGACGTATACAATGATGATGATAAAATTAAATACAAAAATATATTACTGGCGACAAATGCGCATAGACGTGGCAATGATATGCGTAATCCATTGTTAAGTAACAAGGGATACAAGTATAAAAATATAATAGCGCCATTAATCTCTATTAAAAATATAATAGCGCCTGGAAAAAAAGCTGGAAGGGGTATAAACATACCGCGCGCTATGGCGTTAAACGATAATAAGATCGATTATGTGCATTGGAATGATCCTAACGAGTTGGTAGATTGCTTGCGATTGCTGGAAGCTTCGCGTCAAGCCGGCAACAATGCCCACGACAATGACATATTATCAATTATCGAGGAACTTTACGAAGCTGGCCTGATTATAAATTAATTTATGCGTCGGCGAAACGAGTCAGTCTGTTATTATTGTTTGTATCGAAATGTCGATTAATAAATTTGGATTATCGTTGGGAACACCGAACAACTCATACTATCAATGGAATGGATTACTAAGAAATTACGTGCGCGATAACGCTCTGTGTCAGACAGCCTCCGGCTTTGACGCAAGGTCGCGCAAGATACGACGGGTAGAGCAACCGGAAGATGATAGTGATGCCGCAAACAAACAGTACGTGGAAATACGTGTCAAGTTTTTGGAGGACAGACAGGAAGAACTTGAGAAAAAAATAATTACGTTCGAGACGAATGTGCAAACGCTGCAAATAATAATGGATGAGATGCAGATAATGCTTCGGTATGCAACTCACGCGCAGACTACATCTAATTCAGCGCAAGAGAAGAAAGATATATAAAGAATATACGTGGAATTATCTCATTATTGCAAATTTTGCCTCGATCAAATATGTCGCAAAAGACCTCTGAAAAACAGCAGCTCGTGGAAGAATTGCATGCTCCAGCGAGAAAAAATTTCCCACGTAGACGTGTCACAGTACGCGGATACGACGATCTGTGGCAGGCGGACGTAGTCGAGATGCGTCCATATGCACGATTCAACAAAGGCTACAACTACATACTCACAGTTATCGATGTGTTGAGCAAGTATGCGTGGGCTGTACCGCTCAAGAGTAAGAGTGGAAACGAAATGTCGGATACGATCGCAAAGATAATTCGAGACGATGGAAGATGCCCGAAAAATTTTCAAACCGACAGAGGAAAAGAATTTTACAACGCAAATGTACAGAAACTCGTGAAGAAGCATAGCATTAATCATTATTCGACGTACTCTGTCATGAAAGCCTCGGTAGTGGAACGATTCAACCGAACGTTAAAGAACAATATGTGGAAAATGTTTACGCTTAATGGAAATTACAAGTGGATCGACGCGTTGTCCCGGCTCGTTGGAGAGTACAATGCGCGAAAACATCGCACTATCGGTATGAGACCTATCGATGTTACCCCCGCGATCGCCGATAAACTTTTAAATACGGTATACAGCAACGTAAAGATTGCGGCACCGGCAAGATTCAAAGTAGGCAATCCGGTACGCGTGAGTAAAGTCAAGACCATCTTTAAGAAAGGTTACACGCCAAAGTGGGCGACCGAAGTGTGGTAGTATTGCCGTCAAGTATGTATTATGATACTATACGAAGAGTACACGAAAACGGGCATTTTGCTACTAAGAAAATGATGGAAGCTATACAAGACCATTACATTCCAAAACTAAAAGATAAAATAGATAATTATATTGAATGTTGTGTACCCTGTATATTGTCTAAAAAAAAGAAAGGGAAAAAAGAGGGCATGTTGAGACCTATTCCTAAAGGTGACGCACCATTAAGCACTTATCACATTGATCACTTAGGTCCGATGACAAGCACGTCCAAACTATACAAATATTTAATCGTTATAGTAGATGGATTTTCAAAATTTGTATGGATTTATCCTACTAAAACTACTAACGCCAAAGAAGTCTTAAATAAATTGACGGCAATGCAACAACATTTCGGCAATCCACAACGTATTATAACAGATAAAGGTACTGCGTTTACCTCATCTTATTTTAATGATTACTGCGCAAAAGAAGGCATATAACATATTGACATAACTAC